GCTTGCTTCCCTATCTGTTAATTTCTCTTTTAATTGGCTTCTTTTTATTGATACACTTAGATTAAAATCTTCCATCTTGCTACTTGTTTTCTTTTTTCCACGTGTTCTTTTTTTCCTTTTTTCCTTCCTTGCTTTTGATTGACTTGTTTTGAAAGAGCAAACCCTCAGTCTCCTGGGTGCTGAAAGAGGACAATGAGATTTATTGCATCAGATTGAGACAGTTTTACTCATAGCAAAACCAACAATAGAAACATGGGCATGGGTTGCTTGGTTCTCCCAGCCCTACATCTAATAGGTGATCCCGTGAGCCCAGATGCATGGTTCATACATAGTGAGTTTGCACTATAGCTGAGGGACCTAGGCTCAGTACCCTTTTATAGCAAACAGCAAGCATGCCTGCCTTGGTCTGAGAAAGACATTGTCTCAACTCTCAAAATTGCCAGCTGTGTTAACAATCCTGAGCAAGGGTCCAGGTGAAAGAGAAGTCAGGACCTTGCATTCTTGACATACTCAGAAAGACATTGAACACAAGAGGCCCAGGGAGGATGCCTCCCAACGTTAAAAAAAAATTCTATTTATTTTTTCATATTCAATAGTCATTTGTTTTTTAAAATAAGTGTTATTGTACATACCTAAAGGTTTAAACATGATATTATGATCCCATAACATATAGATAGGAAATACATAGTAAGCATACATATAGTAAAATAGTTACTATAGTGAAGCAAATTAACATATCCATCATCTCACATAGTTATGTATTCCCACATTTTTATGATAAAATGATTCCATTTTATCTCCATTATTGGCTTGTTACTTTTACTTTAAAAATTTTTTTCTTTAGTGATTGCCCTTAAATATGTTCAAGCATAGTCTATCTTTTCTTTTTTTTCTTCTTTGAGTCAGGGTCTCACTCTGTTACCCAGACTGGAGTGTAGTGGCATGATCATGGCTCACTGCAGCCTCCAACTCCTGTACTCAAGCAATCCTCTCACCTCAGCCTCCCAAGTAGGCTGGGACTACAGATGCATGCCACCACGCCCAGCTAATTTTTAAATTTTTTTGTAGAGACAAGGGTAGTCTATCTTTAAATAATATTATACCTCTTCTTATATAGCATAAGAACCCTTCAAAAGCATATTTCCAATTCCTCCAGTTAATCATTTTTGCTATTACTATTGTTATATATTTCACTTTTACTCATATATATGCTATAAACCCATAAAGCATTGCTACTATTTTGCTTTAGTCAAACATTCTCTTTTAAGGTGATCAGAAATGAGAAAAATAGCCAGGTACGGTGACTCATGCCTTTAATCCCACGACTTTGGGAGACTGAAGTGGGAGGATTGCTTAAACCCAGGAGTTTGAAACCAGCCTGTAGAGACTTTGTCTCTACAAACAATAAAAAAATTAGTGAGGCGTGGTGGTGCACCACTGTAGTCCCATCTACTTAGGAGGCTGAGGTGGGAGGATCGCCTGAGCCCAGTAGGTTGAAGCTGCAATGAACTTTGATCATGCCACTGTACTCCAGCCTGGGTGACAGAGACCCTGACTCAAAAAAAAGAAAGAAAAGAAAAAAAAAGGCCAAGCACTGTGGCTCATGCCTGTAATCCTAGCACTTTGGGAGGCCAAGGCAGGAGTATTGTTTGAACCCAGGAGTTAAGACCAGCCTAAGAAACATAGTGAGACTTCATCTCTACAAAAAAAAAAATTAGCCAAGTATGGTGGTGTGCACCTATAATCCCAGCTACTTGGAAGGCTGAGGTGGGAGGATCACCTGAGCCCAGGAGGTTGAGGCTGCAGTGAGCCAGGATCATGCCACTGCACTGTAGCCTGGGAGACAGAGTAAGACCCTGATTTAAAAAAGAGAGAGAGAGAGAGAGAAAGAGAGAGAGAGAGAGAGAGAGAGAAATAGCTCTTATATTTACCTTTTTTCTATCCATTTCCTTAGATCTTCATTTCTTTATGTGCATCTAAGTTTCTCTCAGTTATCATATTTCTTCTGCCTACAGAACTTCCTTTACCATTTCTTATAGTGCTGGTCTGCTGGTAATGAACTTTCTCTGTTTTTATTAATCTGAAAAAGTGTTTGTATTTCTTTCATGTTTGAAAGGTATATTTGTTAACTGTAACATCTGGGTCATGAATCTGGTCCTACTAATTGCTTTGTCTCTTGACAGTAGAGTTTTTCTGGTATTTTAAAATGTGTGTGTACTGGCTGAGCATGATGGCTCAATGGCTATAATCCCAGCACTTTGGGAGACCAAGGTGAGAGGACCACTTGAGCTCAGGAGATTGAGAACAGCCTAGGCAACATATTGAGACCCTATCTTGAAAGAAAAGAAAGGAAGGAAGGGAGGGAGGGAAGGAAGGAAAGAAAGAAAAGAAAAAAGTATGTGTGTGTGTTGTGAATTTTTTATTAGTTTTTTGAAACAGTGCGTACAACAGTAGGGACTGAGTTCAATATTATTTATGCCTGGAAATTGTCACGTCTTTTCTGTTAGTCCATTAGTGTAGGGAACTGAAGCAATCTTGTCAGGAGCTGAATTAAAGATTTGGGTTTTATTGTTTCTGTGATTACTTCAGTGTCTGTGGCTCCTACAAATTCTATATTCTCATGCTAGCCACACTGGGCCTTTAGCAATCCAACAGGAATTTTAACTGAACCCTTCTCTACCCACTTGAATAGAGATCACATCTTCTTCCTGCTTCACAAGTGAGCCAGTGCCTGCCTCTCATCTCTTCGTGGAGACTCCTGTCCTTTGAAATTCAGGTTTACTGGTTGCTCTGCAAACTTAGCTCTCTGATGGGTTTGACAAAGTTATGATTTTGTAGATTACTCAACATCTTCCATCTTAGCCCTGAATTATTTTCAGCTTGGATGTTTCCCCCTCTCCACCCCTTCTTATGGCAAATATCTGGTGAAGACAAGAGACAAAAGTTCCTGATCTTTCTTCATCTTGGGCTCAAAATAATCCATGCAGTCATGTTCCCAGGGATAAGTCTGAAAATAGGGGAGTTAACTCTGGGAGCTGAGTGCTCATCCATTGTTCTCCTGACTTGGCCTCATTCTTCTGTGCTAGAAAATGGGACAAAGTATCTACTCCATCCACTAATGAGAAATAGTGGAAGGTGAAAGTCATAACACAATAAAAGGGGAATAGGCTGGGAGTAGTGGTTACAAGCACTGTCTCTGGAGGCAGCCTTCTTGGGTTCAAATTTCAGCTCCATCACTCAATAGCTGTCAGGTCTTGGGCAATTTCCTTCACTTTTCTGCATCTCAGCTTCTGTGTCTGTAAAATGGAAATAACAACGGGATTAAGAGTTAATATATGTAAAGCACTTATAATAGTGACTGGCACATAATAAGCTCTGTATAACTGTTAACAATTAGGACTCACTTTCTATAATTTCAGGAATTCGTGAAAGAGAGTAGTTCTTTCCTTTTCTCAGAACCCATTATAATCAAAACAACTCAATGTTTATTGAGCATATCCAAAGTGCCCAAGTCCTGTACTAAGCACTTTATATGAATTATCTCATAAGAGATACGGATCAGTTACTCCTATGTAATAAGCACGGAGACCAAGGATCAGAGAAGTTCAGTGTATACTCAGCTGGCTAGAGGCAACAGTACCTTTACAACCCAAGGGGGTCTGACAACGATGCTTGTGTTCTTAACCACTGCACTTGTTGTCTCCCACAAACTAGTTTGCATGCTTGTGAACTAGTGGGAAAGCTGCTTGCTGTATTTATCTCACAGGGTTGTTTTGAGATCCCAATCATGTACTAGTAGAGGCAATGCTTTAGGCATTTGTAGAGTGCTGGTCACCCGACAGGGAACCCTGAATGTGTTATGACTTTTCACACTTCCATCCCTCTGCACAAGCCCTTTCCTCCTCTTCTCTACTGGTTGAACTCATGTCTTCCAGGCTCAACTCAGGTCTGAACGCCTGAATTTTATTCTAACACTAGAGAGATTTAGAAAGGGGGTGGCACATCAGATTTGAATTCTGAAATGACACCTGACTGCAGTGTGGAGAATGGAGGGTAGCCCAACCAGAGTACAGGGAAACCAGATAGAAGCCCAGGCAAGAGATGGTGGTGGAAATGGAGAGGAAGGATGGATTGATAGACAGGAAATGGACGTGTATTTTAATGTGGGCAGCGGAGAGGGAGGTGCCAAGGATGACTCCTAGTTTCTGGCTTGCTGGCTGATGTTCGTTGAATGAATGGTCAGGGTACAGCAGAAGTATCTCAGATGGACACCCCCCGCGCCCAGCCGTCCCCACGTTGCTTTTAGAGCTATGACCAGAAGGAAATGTGTGGTGGAAGGCACGAGAATTTTGGTCCAGGACTCCTAGATTGGACTCTTCTAGCACTGATCTGAGCCAGGAGGCGCAGCGAAGGGGGCAAGCGTTTTTCACTCGGACGGTAGTTTCCGCCTCACCCTTCCACCCCACCCCCCCACCACTCCAC